AACTCACAATTTAAGGCTAGCCACTGTGCTTACTCACTGTTAGAGAACAGAACTAGAACGTCACTCTTGCTTATGGACACTGAGTGATGTACACATTCTGACCCAGGTTGGGAACCCCTGTGCAAAAGTCACGCCAAACAGCCGATCACACCCCGTCCTGTGCATATCCCTTGTCTTGGCATTTCTCTCAGAATCCCTGCAGTGTGGCTCATCTCGGTCGAGCTTGCAAAGGGATAGCAATTTGATTAAGCCCAAAGCACACGAAAATGTGGAATGACTGGCGGTCCTTAACCCTTTTAGGGACATCTTTTTAAAGTTTATTTATTTTGAGAGAGAGAGAGAGAGAGAGCAAGCATGTGCGCAAGTGGGGAAGGGGCAGAGGGAGTGAAGGAGTGAGAGAGAATCCCAAGCAGGCTCTGCACCATGAGGGCAGAGCCCAACACGGGGCTTGAACTCATGAACCACGAGATCATGACCCGAGCTGAAGTTGGGACGCGTAACCAACTGAGCCACCCAGGCGTCCCTTAGGGACACTTAAAGGAACAACTTGTTCACTTACCGCGTTTACAGCAGGAAAAGGCAACCTGCCGTAAAGGCAACCAGCGCCAGCCGGTGCATAGTTCAGGGTCGTACTCGGTCCGCCATTCACAGCTGCTTTCCCCTTACACTGCTTCTCCTGCCCCCTCTCTCTTCTTCCATTTTCCCATCTGGAAAACAGGCATAGTCATTCTTTTCCTATCCACCTCAAGGATTTTCTAAAAATGTAACAGATTAAGGAACTTCACAATTGATAGAAATCTTGGAGATCATCTGGGGACTTTTATTTTTGCTCTTAGATAATTCTTTACAGTTTATGAATCACTTTCATTGACACTGTCTCATTGAAACCTCAGAACAACTGGGGCGTCTGGGTGGCTCAGTCGGTTGAGTGTCTGACTTTGGCTCAGGTCATGATCTCACAGTTCGTGAGTTCGAGCCCCGCGTCAGGCTCTGTGCTGACAGCTCACAGCCCGGAGCCTGCTTCAGATTCTGTGTGTGTGTCTCTCTCTGCTCTTCCCCTGCTCACACACTGTCTCTCTCTCTCTCTCTCTCTCTCTCAAAAATAAATAAAAATTAAAAAAGAAAAAGAAACCTCAGAACAACTATGGGAAATCATCAATCTCTTTTGATAGGGAGGAAACAGGTGAAGAAAGCAGGAATTACCTTTTTTCTTTTTTTTAATGTTTATTTATTTCTTTTTGAGAGCGATCCAGAGCGAGTGAGCACAAGCTGGGAAGAGGCAGAGGGACAGGGAGAGAGAGAATCCCAAGCAGGCTCTGTGCTGTCAGCACAGAGCTTGATCTGAGGCTTGAACTCACCAACTATGCGATCATGACCTGAGCTGCAATCAAGAGTTGGCCGCTTAACTGACTAAACCACCCAGGTGCCCCGAAAGGGGGAATTACTTGCCAAAATAGAGCTGGGGGCAGTCAGTGGCTCTTTGCTCTACCTAAGTCTCCCTATAGATCCAGCTAGAAGGCCCTGTAATCAAAAGGTTGACTAGTTCTTGATTGTACTCCCCCAGTGCATGGGGAGCTAGCTCACTGCCACCCGAAATAAACCGTTCCTTAGTTGGGTGGCATTGATAGCTGGCTATCACTTGTGGAACAGAACATGTTATATTGAAAGGAGGGGGTGACTCTTAAGGCTTTCACCCTAACGTGTGCCAGACAGAAGAGAAGTTTACGGAAATAGCCAGAATGGCAATAACAACAATGCCCACCTGATGGTGTCACTTCCCTGGTTATAACCCTTCAGTGGCTTCCTGGTTCCTTGCAGAGGGAGTCCGGGCTCCTTGATGTAGCCTCCCTGAGCTTGGCCCAGCCTCAGATCACCTCTACATGCCTCACACATCTTCCCACCCCACCCCAGCCTTCCTGCAATGTGCTTCCTCTGCCAAGAACACCCTCACCTACCACCTTTACCTCCCTGCTCCTACCGGCCTCTCAACTCCCCAACCCCCAGAATCCCTGCACACTAGATTGTTCTCACTTGCCTCCCTAACAAGACTACAGGATTCCTTTGCGTGGGTGCCCAGCATGGAGACTGTCACTGAACTGGCGATTGCCCCACTCCAGCACCTACGCAGACCCCTCTCCTGCTCCAGACAGCCAGATCAGCAGAGGGTTAAACAACTGCTCTGGCCTTAAATCGGCCTTGGCACTGGAGAAGCAGGTGGCCCAATGGTTAACCAGATTCTTTCTGGGCCTGTTCTCAGTTCTGCTCAGGAACTCAATCCAGCCAGGTCTTCCCAGAGCTGAAACCTGGGCCCCTCTCACCCCTTCAGGAGGCCCCCCCCCCACCAGGGCCCTCCGATGCCAAGTAGCTGGAACTGCCAGGGAGGGGAAGCGGGGGAGGCAGAGGACAAAGCCGGAGGAGGCATAGGTGGACAGTAGGAAGGACCTGGCCCATGCTCTGCCAGGCTTGCCGCTCCCGTCCCTGTCTCCCTAGCCCCATCTGTGTACCCAGGAGGCTGGCCTGGGTGGTCGCTCCTGATAGGAATGGACAAGAGCAAGGGACCCTCAGACTCCAGACCCCCCTAGCTAGGGGTCCCCTTGCTGGAGAGGGACTTTTTCCACCACAGGTAGGGGTGGGTAAATCTTTAACTAGTTAGCCCTGGGCAGGCCCAAGCCTTTCCGGATGGCTGGATGCCTGAGAAGGGGAAAGGGGGTGGGGGGTGTAAGGCGTGTATAGCCAGTCCCAGTGTGGTGGAAAAGGGAGGGTAGCGGGAGAGAAAGGA